GGGGGGGGAGGTTTGGGGGTGATTTGAACCCCGCGTCGCCGCCCCCCCCACAACCCGCTGTAGCGGTGAATTTGGCGCAGGAGTTCTTTTTGCCGTTCCAGTTCGGTTTCGGCATCTTGCGCCAAACGAATCACTTCTGCCGTCAGCCGGTCGCCTTCGCCGGGGGAGGCCGGGCGGCTCCAGAGGAAGAGGAGGAGGAGGCCATTCCAGGCGATGAAGAGCGCCGCCCCCCACAACACCAAGCTGCTCTTCTTCAGCATCCTTCAGCGCTCACTCCCATGCCATGGACCTGGGGGGGGGAACACACACGGGGGGGGGTTAAAAACAGAGGGGACCCCCCCTTCCACCCCCAAACTGGTGCCAGAGGGGGACAGGGACGGTTGTGTCACCCCGAAACACTCAGTCAACCCCCCCTTTCCTTCCCCCCAGCCTCCCAAAAAGAGAAACAACACCCCCACACACACACCTCGGGGAGAGGAAGTGAAACCGCATGGCCCCGGAGCCTCCCACCAGAAACATGGCACCGTTGAGATACAAAAAAAACCCCCCTTAAATAAGGGGGGGAAAAAGCAAATAATAAACCCCAACCCCAAACCTCGGCCTGGGGAAGAGGAGGGCAGAGTCCACTCCCATTAAACATTAACCCAGGGACCAGCTCCTGTGTGGATTTGCCACTGTGGAGGCTGGGGGGGGGTGGTGAAGTGAGGGTGGTTTCTGTTTGAAAAATGGGGATAAATTAAATAAAATATCAAATCCGAGTACTAAAAAACCTCACAAAGTCCTGTCTTCAGCGAGTTTTTACTCACCCAGAGCCCAGCCTGACTCCTGCCAGAGGAGGCAAGATGTCAGCGAGGGCAGGAAAAGGGAGGAGGGGGGAGGAAAAGGGGAATTACGAGAATAAAGAAGAAAAAAAAAATAGGAAAGAGGCAAAAAAAACCCAACAGAGAAAATAAAGAAAGAGGGAAAAAAGCGCGATTGCTTAACTTCGGCAAGGGAGCGGCGCGGGTGAGCAGCTCAAGGGTTAACGCTGCCGCGGGCCACGTTGGCGGGCGGAAAAAGGGAATTAAAAGGAAAAAAAACACCCGGAAAAGGGGTATTTAAAAGGAAAAAAAAAGGGGTGTAGAGCAGTAGGAAGGGAGGTGAGTCCAGTGGCACCACAGTTCCCCCCCCCGGCCCCAAAGGGTAAGGCAGAAAGTGCCGGTAACACTGAGAGCCGCCAGCACGGTTCCCCCTTCCGAGCCCCGAAACGCTCATCTGGCCCCGGAAAAGCAGCTGGAGAGAAGGAAAGAGGTGGAAAAAAAAGGTGAAAAAAGTAAATTTAAGGGATTTCGTGCTTCTTAGTTGGATCCCTGCGGAGGGAGACGCTGGGATTAAGCCATACCTGCGGGGCCAAAAGCAGCTCAGCCTCGTGGCAGCCCAAAATGCGGGTGTTTTGGCTCTAAATGAGGGGTTTTAGCCCAAAACTAGGGTGTTTTGGCCCAAAACGCAGGTTCAGTCGTGGTTTTACCCAGCGTTTCGTCGTGGCGAGGCACAAGCCGGCGGCGAGGCGCTGAGTAAGCAGAGTTGGGGATTTTCCCTGCCCTCGGCTTCACTCTGGGGCGAGACTCTGAGCGACCGATAATTTTATCACATTAAATCCTCTGGCGTCCCAAACCCCCTTTCTGTTCAATGTCCTGCGTTTTTTTTTCCTCAGGGGTTTTTAAAGGTGAAACACCCCGAATCCAAAGATTCCTGAAGTTCTGGGGGAGATTTTAAGCTCCTTTCCCTCGCCATGGTGTCCCCCAGAGACCCCAAAACCAGCAGATTTCAGGCAAACGCCTGCCAGTTTTGCAACACCCCCCCCTAAATTACTCATTAAATCTTCTTTTTAATTAATCCAGGCTCTTTTTTGCACCCTGGGGGAAAGCGGCTCTGGTCTCAGTGACACCAAAACCACCTGGAATGGACTGAGGAAGCAAGCACTGCTTTCGGGGAAGGCCCACCCCTCCGATTTTTCACCTCATTTTTCCACTTTTTTGGCTTCATTTCAGCCCAGGTGACGCTAAAATAAACTGCAACAACGCAGCTCAACAGAAACAAACCCTGGTCTTGGACAAAATTAATCCCTTCTCCTATGGGATTCACTGCCGAGCGTCACCTCAGCACCTCAATCTTCCTAAAAATCCTATTTTTTTCCCGTTTTTTTCTTGCTTTTTGGGGAGATTTTAACCCCCTTCCAGTGGGAATTAAGAGGGCAAGCAGCTGGGAAAAACATTTCCCTTCTCTCTCCACGTTAAAATCCTCGCCATTTACCTGGTTGCAGCTCGCTCCAGGGGGAGGGGGGTCGCTGGGGTTCCCCCCTCCCCCCCCTTTTCCAGAGCCGCCTGGGAATCCCTTGGGAATTGGGGGTGAAATCGTTGCTTCTCTCCCATCAGAGCTCCCTCGTGGTGTGGGGCGGGGGGTGTCAGGCCATGGCAGTAGCTGTGTCCGTCTGTCCCTCTGCTGTCTCAGGGCACAATGTCCCCCAGCCCCCGGCCATGTTTTTTGGGGGTGGGTGTCTCTGACGAGGTCTAAAAATGGGGAGAAAAAGGTTAAAATGCCCAAATTCCAACCCCCCCTACTTTATGGAGGGGAACAGCCTCCCTATATCTCCCTAGGGGTGGTGCAGCCACCCCAAAATCCCCAGGGAGAGGAATTCCTGCAGGGAACGGGGGGTGGCCTCCTCCCCACCCCATAAGGAGAGGGAATCATCCCACCCAGCCCCTATAGAGGATAGGGGACCCCCCAAGCCCTCCTGACACCTCCACAGGGGGGTCAGAGGACCCCCCCAAGCCCCACATAAGCCCCTCCTGACACCCCAACAGGGGACAGGGGAGCCCCCCTCAGCCCTCCTAACACCCCTATAGGGATCAGATGAGCCACCCCAGCCCCATAGCAGCCCCCCAGCAGACAGCAGAGCCCCCCCCCAGCCCCATAGCAGCCTCCCAGCCACTCCTGCCACCCCCATATGGGGGTCAGAGGAGCTCCCCCAGGCCCCTAGCAGCCCCCCCGGCCCGCTTGACACCCCTGCAAGGGACAGATGAGCCCCCTCCCAGCCCTCCTGACACCCATGCAGAGATCAGGGGAGACCCTCAGCCCTCCCGACACCCCTGTAGGGGTCAGAGGAGCCCCCCCCAGCTCTTCCAACCCTCCTACCACGGCCAGATGAGCCCCCCCAGCCCTCCTGACACCCATGCAGAGATCAGGGGAGACCCTCAGCTCTCTCGACACCCCTGTAGGGGTCAGAGGAGTCCCGCCACCTCTCTCGACACCCCCATAGGGGACACTGAAGGCCCCTCCACCCCCCACAGGGCACAGGGCCGGCCCCTCCACCCCTATAGGCGACAAGAGGCCCCCCCCCAGCCA